ACAGCACAAAGTCGCACACGAGTGTTCGCCGAGGCTGCGCCGCCGCCGCCGATGACTTCACTCAGCGGCGCTCGGCCGCATCGGTAGCCCGTATCTGTTTAGCGTCTCGGCTTTCGCCCGATTCGGTTGCTCTCGCGCTGTCGTCTCCGCTAATCAGCCGCCGCGCCAACGTAGGCCCCTGCGAGGGAGGAAACGGACACACGGATATCTAATGAGAGACAAGGTCAAGGTGATATAGTATCACCGTGGAAAGTCGCTGATGTAATAATGGTTTGTTGTGAAAATTGCTTTTGGTGCTGATCCAATGGAGGCCTTGGCGGAGGTCAGCGCTTTCTTTTCATTGCACTTCCTTTTCCAATAAAAATCTGTCATCCTGTTCTACTCATCTCTTTCCACTCCCCACTTGTTATTGGGTGTTTATTGGAAAAGTCGTGAACTCGCGCGCGTCTGTTTGGCATAGATCACGCATATGCATGCGGCACTTTAATATATTGCACATATATGTTCATCTTTTAATCCGCTGTATTATGAGCCACTTTCACGGTTTCCCCGAGACTACAAGATGGCGGCAAAGCACTTAAACCGGAGAGGATCATAACGCATCCAAGCCATGCATCTAGCACGTACACGATCATGAACCCATGTCACTTAAACAAATCCATTCGGCAGTTGAATTACTCCACACGAACAAAACACCATCACGTGCGGCTCATCAGTCTTGTTAGCTAGCATGCTACCGTAAATTCCGTAACACCCTTGCGCAAAGTGATGTGACATCACCCATAGGAATTTTTTTGAGGTCAAAAACTTTGAGTGGATTATAAAGTCCGCTCAAGAGCACCTGGTTTCTTCTGGTTGGATTTAGGGTTAACGACGGTCTGTTTTGACCCCATGAGTGAGGATAACCACGTATAAACATGGCCGTCCTCTCGGCCTCCTTCCCCGCGCGGTAAATAATAAACGTGAATAAAAGGTGAGCTGCTATTATTATCATTTTTCTTGCTTCTCGACCGCGGCGAGCTGATGAAAGCGAAACCCGAGACCCGCTAAAGTTCATCTTGGGCGTCAAAAGCGGAGGGCCCACATGTTTTAATGGTGTGCAAAAGGATCCTCCTGCCAGATTATGTAATCGTTTTATCTGGAACGGGCCACCATCCGCTCTCTTCCGTTACATCACCAGTTAGTGTAACAGGGTCCGGAACGGCCGCGAGATTTAAGTTACACGCCGAGGGATTCAAGGTCACGCATATGTACGCGGTGTAAAATGTTTCCTGTTTGTGAAGGCCTCGTCATTGGAGTTAACTCGAGCAGCCTGGCATTTTTGGCCGTCGCCGTTTTTGGAAACGCCAACGGACGGCGGACGCTGAACGGATCATGTGCAGCCGCGCGGCTTGGTTGTTTATGATGTGCGAACACGGCAGTCGAGGCCGTCTTGCGCTATACTTAGACGACAACCTTTTTCAAAGGTCTACCGAGACAGGCTTGGATGAGTTTGGAGTGGAAAAACGTTGAAAGGCGCACAGATCATGTTAATGGACACTTGTCACATGCCTGACACACCATCCTCACATTGTACGATATCGTTGACTTTGAGTATATTTGGCTTTAAAAGGCCTGGTGAGTGACATGGGTGTCAGGAAAAGAGAGTGTAGAATTGGCTGGCGTCAACCTTTTTTTCTTTATTTAATTATTTGAAATAGTCGACTCATCATTGCAGACCTACAGTGTAAATTGTGCAAATTTAAAATGATCTCAATTGTGTTTGGAAATTCAGTCCTGTTTTTTTTTTCGATGTGGTGACTTTAAAGTGACCTTTTAATCCGTTGGCTGCCGATTTTCTTCATGCGATTTAATTGGATGGTTGTTTCTTGCATGTGGAACAACGGAGCCCATTCTTGGTTGCTAATTTAATTTTTTTTTTTAATCTGAACCCACAATTGGCACTTTATTATTGTTTCTTGCCTTGTGCTAATTCTTTACCTCATAGATCGAATCAATCACACGGCAAACATTTGCATAAGCTGTTAAATGACGTCCAAGTTGTCCTCTTTGCGAGCCTGGCATGCTGCCACTTGACTCATGTGCCCGATTTTGTGGATTACCGCAGGTATAAATCATGTGCAGGAGTCTTTGTGTGTTTTGTAGCATTCAGGATGATGACGAATGTTGGGGTTGCTGTTTGCGTGGATCCGTGTTCTCCAGCCAAGCGCGGGTCAATGAAACAATGACTTGTCAGGCTGCAATTGCACCTATTGTGAAGCACCGGCGTTGTTATTGAAATCGAAACCATCTCGACCAATTATTGTCGCTTATTGTAAAGCATTTGAAGCGGAAGATTTCGCCCTCGTTTGATTGATAGGTCACATTTTAAGGAAGAAGCTGTGCCGAGCGAAGCGATGCCCATAAACACAAGGAAGCCCATAATGCCTTTGCCCGGCCACATTTTTTCAACCGGCAAGCCGCCTCCTCTCCTCCGCAACTAGGTCAGATTTCAGATCGACGAGTCGGACACATGGCCCTGGTTACTGCAATATGTAGAGTGGTGACTGAAGGGAAACCAAAAACCACCTAAGTCGGAGGAAGGAATGAGGAGGAGGAGGGCAATGCAGCGGAGAGTGGAAAGAGAAACACAAAGGGAGGGGGTAGGAGAGTGGACAAAAAGATAGAGCAAATACATTTTGGAATACAGCAGCAGGCTGCCAACAAGTCGACTCCAATGTCCATGTTTGCCATCGGGGCTTTAGCACCCGCACCTCAAATGTCTTGAAGGTCCTCAGTGTGCGGATTATGAGGGCTAACTCTGTGCCCCCCCCCCCCCCCGCCCCCACACCTTTCCCTTTCACACTTACTGGAAGTCATTCATCCCCCTTTCAATCACTCTTATTCACAACAGATGCGCCGCCCCACCCCCCGACACCCCTTGCCTCCACTGGGCGAAAGGTCTCGCAGGGGGTTTTTGCTGTGCATTAGCTGTGCGCATGTTTATGAGGTTCTGTGCAGGGGAGCATCTCCCGAGCATGTGTGTGGGATTCAGACACGTTGGCTCCATACTAATGACGTTCCAAGTTCCCCTCTGGATTTAAATTCCCCTTGTCCAGCTTGATGCAATAACGCTGGGAGTGTATACACCCCACATTCTTTGCGATTTGGGTACAGAACGCATGCAGGGAAATCAAAATGGGGTCGTCAAAGCATTTCAGCACTAACCTCTCTGAGCAGATTCAGTTGGACGTTGGAGACGGGTTGCATCATCGGCGTTTTTGAAGTGCGTCAATTACCCTGGCACTGATTTTGAAAGTAAATACGATACACCCTCTGTTTGCTTCCAGAAAAGCAATCCCTCGCCTCATGAATTAACTCTTCACTTTGCAAAGCACTCGAAAGGGAGATACGATCTCCATGCATGTAGCATGTCAACCATCGTGAACCCATGTTACGTAAATGACCGTATACTGTTTGTTCAAATATTCAGCAACTCAATCATCATCAAACATATTGGCGATCATACGAGCATAAATAACACAACCCGACTTTATACAAACAATATTATACAAAAGAGGGGGGAAAAAAATCAAAACCTACTTTCACTTTTGACAATGCTTGAAGGACTCGCCACCTCACTTGAAAACAGTCCCTTGGCGCAGAGTCGGCACACGATGGCGCCAAAGCACCACTTTGATCCACACGAAGCTCCTCAATTCACTTTTAGTGCCCGAATAATAATTTTATTGCTTTGGCAATGAATTTCTTTTTAAATAACCATGGTATGTAATTTAACCAACTACTTGTTTGTGTGTGTGCAGCATACTGGTTCGGGGGGGAATTCCGGTTCAATTGATGCTGTTCTGCAACCTCCATATTCAGTCTGAAGCAGCGTGGGTTGATCAGAGGGTTTCAACTTTTCTGATTTACCGCCGCACAGGCTGCCGGTGACGGGACTGTGCGTCCCGCAGCCTTTTTCCCGCGTGGGCGCCTGTTTCTAATGCTCCCTCATGCGGATGTAGGCCAGCCGACTCAGACGTGACGTGACGCTCGCTCGAGGGGATGTGTCAGCGGCTCCTTTTTCGTCGGAGAAACACGGAGCTCGGTAGAGGAGTGTTGCGTGAGTGGCAGATAAGAAAGGAGAGATGTGAACGTGCCGGTCCGCCACGTTGAGGTGTACGCTGGCATGTCAGTGACGAGGAGAGTGCGAGAGGGTATTTTTGAATCCGACAAACACAAGTCTCATGATGTTTTGAAGCTCGGATCCGAAGAGAGGGAAAACAACTAACCTCTCAACAAGACTGCCGGTGTTCTAGAAATTCAATTACGGTAAAAAAAAAAAAAAAATACTGGGATTATCTATATTATCTCAACTAGGTTTTTATTTCATATTAAACTATTTCCCAAAGCCTAAAACCTTGCTGGGCAATGAGATTCGTGAACATGATTCGCTTTGTGTAGAAAATGCCACTGTCGATTAATCGATTCGAGAGGCTCTTCCACACATGCTCACACGCATGTGAGAGAGAGAGAAAGAGAGAATTTTCCAGAGTCCCGAGGGAGGCGTAATACGGGTGGTCAGGCGGCTCTTTTTTTTTTTAAGTGCTGCTGGGAAAATGGAGTGTTGGCTTCCAGTCAGTCAGGTGACCTCGCAGCTATCGTCATGTGACCACAGGGTCAGGTGACGCTAGTGTTAATAGACATCAGTGAAACGCGTGCTACACACTGCGGTTCGATACCATTATGCGCCACTTTAACACACACAAACACAATCCTGGTGATGTGCAAGTCTTATGATCATCACCTCCTGGTCTCTGAAGAAGCGCACAAGATTTTCTCATACGGTCCATGAGAAAAATATGGGGGAAACCAGAGATGGGCACTTTACGTGATTTTACCGGTCCGTCCTCCATCCGCAACCTGGGTACCCTTCCATCAAAGCATCGCATCCATGCGTCCACTCCATCCTGCTATCACGCTTCCTGTTCTCCTCACTCTCTCTCCCGTTGTGTCTCCAGGACCGGAAGCTGTCCAAGTCGGAGCGACAACGCTTCAAGGAGGAGGCCGGGATGCTGAAGGGCCTCCAGCATCCCAACATCGTTCGCTTCTACGACTCGTGGGAGGGGCCGTGCAAGGGGAAAAAGTGCATCGTGCTGGTTACCGAGCTCATGACTTCGGGCACGCTCAAGACGTGAGTTTTAGATCTATGGTGATAGAGACCGAAACCTGCCGTGAGTCATTTCTGCCAACTCAATAGCAACTCAGGAATGCACTGCTTAAAAAATAATAATAAAAACTGGAACTGAGTACATACATTGTTGTACTCACCGATACTTGACAATGCCATGACTTTTGAATTTGATCAAATATTGTTCAGAAACACAAAAGTTTTCTTGGCACAAGTATCACTCGAATAGAACTAATTTCAGAGGAATAACTTACTAATACTGATATTTTAACTTCCTTTTTTTTTTATAACATCCTTGGTGGCTGGTCTGCCCTATGCACCCCACCCCAAAGTGAAAAAAACAAAAATCAGCGTGAAGAATCAATGTCTTTGGTTGTCATTGTCCACGCGGTGACCACATGCCATCTCGATGGAAGCATGTGGGCTATTCAATGCGGTTCCACAATCAAAGGCAAAATGTGGAACGAGCACGCGGGTGTGCAGCCCCCCCCCGCCTCCCTGGCATGGCGCATGGCGGGACACCGGCCCACCTGCCAGATGCTGCTTCTGCTGCAGATTCCTCTCATTCCTGTCGACCGGATGGACAGGCATAGAGAAAGAGGCAGGGACCAAGTGAAGCGTGCCGGGGGGGGTCCGTGCGACAACAAGCCGCGTGGATGAGCACGCTGACAGTTACAGTTCAGCCCGAGTGCAAGGGCGGAACACTCTAAAGAGGCACGAAAACACTTTAATTTTACTAGAGGTTGTAGGTCAACTCGAAAGTGTCTCTGTGTGAGACAAAAATGAGCCACTTGTGACACAGCGACAAGCAGGCCAAAGCTTACAAAGGCGACAGTGCCCTCTACTGTACGCTGGAGATTTCCAGTCACATACTATACAGTACTGCAGAAGCCAGAGAAGAATGTAAATCAGTGGCACAATGTTACAATGTTAAGTGGTTGCCTGCCCCTTGTGCGCATCTATTGTACACTGTATGGTGTGTTGGCTGTAGTGCAAATGACAACTCTGAAGGAAGGGTGACCCTCATGTGTTAAAGTGCCGGGAATGATGAGGGGGATGACTGATAGGGGAGCATGGGAATATCGACTTCTGTACATGGTCCCTTATCTGTGTATGTGCTTATGTGTGATTACGATATTAGACAGTGAGTGGTGCCTTGAACTATGAGAGACAACAGCAATCGGGCCTTTCGATCATTCCCAAAAAGGGCATGTTTTGTTTTATTGAATTATTTCATGATTGTACATTTTTATTAAGTGCAATATGGAGTGCTATTGCACTTTTGAAACACCACTTTACAAAATGTGTTGGAGGCTGGAACGGATTAATGGCCTTTCCATTTATTTCAATGGAGAGAAAGGATTTGAAGTGATTCGAGTCAAAGCACCTCTGTATGTACTACAAGAGCATCTGAGAACTTTTCAAACATTAGTAGCACTGGCTCTCATGAGAGGGTCGAGCTCTTCTATTCAATATTGAATTAACAAGATCAAGGTTTTGGCTCTCAGATCTAAAAGAACTTGCATAAGGGACAAAATTTGATTATTCTGCTGTGTCCATTTAAAATCGAAGATCCATTAGACCATGAATGACCTCAAAAATTCGTTTTGATCCAACCTGACTTCAAAACACATCCATGTTTGATATCAAATGAGGAAAATCAACCTGGAAATGCTGCAAACCTAATAGACATTTTTGTCCTCGGTTGATCCTGACCCCTTAGTTTCAGTTGTGGAGGACTTCTTCAATAAAGTCATTTCTGGGCTTCTTTTTTTTTTCCGGCAGTTACCTAAAGCGTTTCAAGGTGATGAAGATCAAGGTGCTGCGTTCGTGGTGCCGGCAGATCCTCAAGGGCCTGCACTTCCTGCACACCAGAGCTCCGCCCATCATTCACCGCGACCTCAAGTGCGACAACATCTTCATCACCGGGCCCACCGGCTCGGTCAAGATCGGCGACCTGGGCTTAGCCACGCTGAAAAGGGCCTCGTTCGCCAAAAGCGTCATAGGTAAGGATGTCTTACGGTGATGGGGTATGTATCAACCTTTGCGCAGTTCATTTAAAAGCATCAAAAATCATTCACTGTTTTTTTTTTGTGAATATTAACCCCGTCAGGGACAGCGGTTACCACAGTGGACAGCTAATTATGTTATCAGGGTGCAGGAAAGGGTGAAGTGAAATATTTGCTGATACACTCCGTATAAGGATTATTCCTGTCTGGTGCGGTCAGGTACTCCCGAGTTTATGGCGCCGGAGATGTACGAGGAGAAGTACGATGAATCCGTCGACGTCTACGCTTTTGGGATGTGCATGCTGGAGATGGCCACCTCCGAGTACCCCTATTCGGAATGCCAGAATGCCGCCCAGATCTACAGACGAGTTACCAGCGTGAGTGTTTTGCAATGTGTGAGATTCGTTTGGATGCACAGTATGTTTTTTGTTTTTTTTTTGTTTTTTTGTTTTTATTTGGGGCGGGGTTGTCCTGGAATAGTCTCCGATTCGGAGGAAACCACAAAACATCTAAAATCAATACTTCCCATACAAAATACTTTTTTGGGTTTTATATGGCATTAAAATTCAAATTGAATCACTTGGGAGGGAATAAAAAGAGGCAGTCATCATTCTGCCCAGCTTCGTTTTAAGTGGTTTTTATGACTTCATTAAATTTCAGCGTGTGCGTCTGACTTCCAAACACACCTGCCCAATTTAATTTTGCCAAATGAAAAATCGCATTACTTCACCCTCAGGGCCCTGATTTAAAATCCGGTCCGCAGCCTGAACAACGCCCCTGTTCTTCCCCCATAATGACGGCCAACCTGACGTTTTTTTGTCCAAACAACCACTTGGCCGCGTGCGTTATTTTCCGACCCCCCCCCCCCGAGGTGCCCCTCTCATCTCACCTGCGTGTCCCGACCAGTCGCCCCAATTAACGTCTACACTAAAAAAATGAAAGAAGCGTATTTAAGTGTATCTTGGCCCTGAAAGTCATTCCCCCCTTCCTCCTGAGTGTTTCTTACCTCCAGCCAGCCTTATAGAGCGCGCTTTTTCCCCCCTCTCATCTGTCATACCTAATAGCATTACAACCCTCCCCCCTCCCCCCACCCCCGC